GTCTCGTTTCACGACTCGGGCCTGTCTCACCACAGCAAGCACGGGAGTGACTTGCGTCGCGTACCCGCCTGAGGAGTCGTGCGGCTGGAGCTGCTTGTCGTGGAGGCGCTAGGAGTGCTGGTGTCTCTAGTCCTGGAGGTGCTCGTACTGGAGGTACTGGAGCTGCCGGGACTGGTACTGCTCCTGGAGCTGGAGGTGTCGGCTCTGGGGGTGCTGCTGCTAGAGGTACTGGGGCTAGAGGCCCTGGAGCTGGTGTTGTTGACCCTGGCGTTGGAGACCCTAGAGCTGGAGGTGCCGGTTCTGGGGGTGCTGCTGTGGGAGGTACTAAGACTGGAGGTCCTGGAGCTGGTGCTATCGGCCCTGGCGTTGGAGACCCTGGAGCTGGAGGTGCCGGTTCTGGGGGTACTGCTGCTGGAGGCCCTGGCGCTGGTCCTGTCGACCCTGGAGTTGGGGACCTTGAGGCTGGAGGTGCCGGTTCAAGGGGTGCTGCTACTGGTGGCGCTGGAGCTGGAGGTTCTGGAGCTGCTGGAGGCGCTGAGGCTGGAGGTACTTCTGTTCGAGTCCCTGGAGCTGGAGGTGCTGCTGCTAGAGGCGCTGGAGCTGGAAGTGCTGCCCCCGGAGTCACTGGAGCTGGAGGTTCTGGGGCTGCTGGAGGCGCTGGAGCTACTGGAGGCGCTGGAGCTGGAGGTGCTGCTGCTGGAGTCACAGGAGCTGGAGGTGCTGCTGATGGAGGCGCTAAAGCTGGAGGTTTTGGAGCTGCTGGAGGCGCTGAAGCTACTGTTACTGGTGGCACTGCACCGTCGCAACTGTTTTTCGCTCCGCCGTCATCGTCGTCTCTGCCAACGCGTGACTCCGTGCTTGGCCAGGTTCTTAGCCTCCCGTCTTCCACTGGCCTCCCGTTACAGCCTGGCGCACCACTGCCAGCTCCTTCTCCTTACACTGAGCAAACAGACTCGCTTACAGAGCGTCGTGAGCCTGCGTCTCATCCTACCTCGCCTCTTCGCGCTGGTCGCACTGGTCGTCTTGTTCCTCCTAAGGGTCCGCCTCCTGTCTCTGGTACGCACGCTATGGCACTTCGTCCTTCCTCTGTTCCACAGCGTGTTCCCCTACCGTCTCCTCCTACGTCTTCTCTGCCTAACATTCAGGACCCTGAGTCTAACCTGGTTCGTGCTGCTCACCCTACTGTCACGCGTCTGCTCGCCACTGTTGTTACTGACCCGTCGTTTGAGTCTGGTGCTGCGTCTGCCTTAGTCTCTGAGCTTGTTGACTTTGCTGCTGCCTGTCGTCTAGACTACGCTGCTAGTTTTGTTGCTGAGTCTGAGTCTCTCTGTCCTCCGTTCGTCGGGGATGAGTGTGCTCTTGGCACGGACATCCTTGAGGATAGACAGTAGGACTTCGAGTGTCTTGCACCCGCTGCGCCTCATCTCGTGGCCATGCTGCTTGCCCCTATGGGAGACCCGGATGCACCAGACATCCCGACTCCGCGTTCTTACGCTGAGGCGATCGCGGGTCCCTACTCCTCTCAGTGGCAAAAAGCCATGGACGAAGAGATGGCATCCTGGAAGTCCACGGGCACTTACGTCGATGAGGTTCCCCCTCATGGGGCGAACATCGTCGATGGCATGTGGATTTTCAGGGTGAAGCGGCCGCCGGGTTCTTCACGTGTCTTCAAGGCTCGTTACGTTGCACGACGCTTCAGTCAGCGATAGGGAGTTGACTTCTTCCACACCTTCTCCCCCACCCCAAAGATGACCACTCTTCGGGTGCTGCTGCACGTTGCCGCTCAACGTGACTACGAGCTTCATTCTCTGGACTTCAGCACATCGTTCTTACAGGGCAGTATGCACGAGGAGATCTGGCTGCGCCGCCCACCTGACTTCACTGGGTCGTTCCCTGCTGGTACCCAGTGGAGCCTCCGTCGGCCAGTCTACAGTCTTCGTCAGGCACCTCGTGAGTGGCACGACACACTGAGGACGACACTTCTGGCTCTTGGGTTTTCCCCTTGCACTGCTGAACCGTCGCTGTTTCTACACACCGACACTTCACTGCCACCGTTCTACATCCTCGTGTACGTCGACGACTTGGTCTTTCCCATTGCTGACACTGAGGCTCTCGCCCTTGTGAAGTCCGAGCTACAGAAAAGACACATGTGCACAGACCTGGGTGAGCTGTGCAGTTACCTTGGCTTGCAGATCACCCGGGACAGAGCACGCCGCACCATCACCCTGACTCAGTCAGACATGGTGCAGCAGGTCCTTCAACGCTTTGGCTTCACTTGGTCCTCGCCATAGTCCACTCCTTTGGCTACAGGTCACTCGCTCTCTGCTCCACCTTCGGACGAGTCCGTAGAGCCGAGTGGCCCGCACCCAGAGCTAGTGGGCTGCCTCATGTACCTGATGACCTGCACTCGTCTTGACCTTGCGTACCCTCTTGGCCTTCTTGCTCGCTACATGGCTCCTGGTAGGCATCGAAAGGTGCACATGGATGCTGCAAAGAGGGTATTGCGCTACTTGTGCAGTACATCGGGCATGGGGCTCGTGCTTGGAGGGCGGAGCTCAGTTGTCCCCACTGGACACTTCGACGCTTCTTGGGTTGACGACCTGGCTACGCAGCGGTCGTCACAGGGTTACACCTTTAGCCTTGGTTGCGGCTTTGATTCTTGGCCATCTACCCGCTCATCTTCTGTTCTCAACTCCAATTGCGAGGCTGAGATCTACGCCACAACCATGGCTGCACAGGAGTTACGCTGGCTGACCTACCTGCTGACTGACTTGGGAGAGCGGCCTCGTTCTCCTCCAGTTCTGTACGTAGACAACAAGGCCGCCATTGCCTTGTGTCAGGAGCACAGACTGGAGCACAGAACGAAGCACATCGCTCTGCGGTACTTCCTAGTTTGAGAGTTGCAGTAGCGTGGTCAGCTTCGTCTTGGTCACGTGGCCACTCGGGCCAACACTGCTGATATATTCACCAAGGCACTTCAGTCTGGTGATCATCAGCGCTTCTGTACTATGTTAGGTGTTGTGCCTGCGTCTCACTTGCTCACTTTGTGACTTTGCTTGTACTGTGATCTATATATATACTTGCATGCTTGCTCTTGATAGGTAGTGATCACTGTACTGTTGTTGCTGCATATATACCTCTGCATGTGACCTGGCCTTGTGGCCCTTTGCTTGTGCTTGAGTGTGTGGTGACGATGTGATCCACCCCGAGCTTGCTTCGCTTTTCTTGACTAGTCTTGTGACCCCTTGTTCTCCCCCACTTTGCCTATGGGGGTGTGTCAAACTATGTGTTAGTTCTGTGTAGGCTATAGTGGGGTAGCCCATATGGGGTACAACCCGAATTTAGGGTTAGTACTTGTACCCACATTTCATTCAATGCAACCATTCCTGCTTGCTATCTTGACACACACCCCTATAGGCGAAGTGGGGAATATCTCAAGCAAAAACTGATTATAAGACCAGTCAAGAGAAACAACAAAACAAGGCTTAGGGTGTATTTCAAGATCACCACACCGTCTTAGCACAAGAGGGCGGCCACAAGGCCAATTCACATGCAGAGATACAATAGCAATGGCAGTACAATGATCACAACCTAGCAAATCAAAACATGGAGGTATACAGATAATGCAGTGTACAACAAGGACAAGGCAAGAAACAAGAAAATAAGGCAGAGTGGGCACAGGCGTAAGAGTAGTGCAGAAACGCTGATGATTACCAGATCCGAGGGCCTTGGAGGTTGATGTTGGCCTGTAGAGTCACGTAAGCAAAGGTGAAGATGGCCACGCTGCTGCAACTCTCGAGAGAGGAAGTAACAAAGAGCTATGTGCTTCGTTCAGTGCTTCAGTCTCAGCTTCTGACACAAGGCAATCACGGCCCTGTTGTCGACGTACAGAACTGGAGAAGAACGAAGCAACTCAATCAAGTCAGTGAGCAAGTAGGTTATCCAGCGTAACTCATGTGCAAATGTAACCCCAGTGCAGACAGCTATAAATACAAAAGACAAACAAGTAGACCTAAAAGAGACAAAACCAGCGCAAAGACTGTAACCCAGTGAAGACCGCTGAGTATCCTGGTCGTCGACCGAAGAAACGTCTGTCAGAACTATGCTCTAGGCTGTAGTGGGGCACTCCTTAATGGGTAATTAGGTTTTGCTATACAAACCTTGTACTGCTGTGTTTCTAGTCACTTCTTCATTCCTAATTCTGACATGGTTTTAGAGCAGGTTCCCTAGTGGGAACGTTTTTTTTTAAGGGCCCACTACGATAATTTTTGTTCTTCCGCCCTGCCCGAAGCGCGCTTCGCGCCTGCCTCACCAGCGCCGTCGCGCGCCCTGCCCTACTGCTGCCCGTAGCGGCCCTGCCCTCCTAGCCCGTAGAGGCCCTACCCTAATGGTTCGTCGCGGCCTTGCCCTTTTGCGGCCCTGCCCTAGCCGCCTGTCACGGCCTTGCCCTGTCGCTGCCCTTCGCGGCCTGCCCTAGCCACCTGTCGCGGCCAGGCCTCGCCGCGCGTCATGGCCCTGCCTTGCCGCCGCTCGTCGCGGCCCTACCCTGCTGCCGCCCCGTCGCGGCCCTGCCCTACCGCCGCCTCGTCGCGGCCCTGCCCTGCAGCCGCCCCATCGCGGCCCTGCCCGGCAACCGCCCAGTCATGGCCCTGCCCCGTTGCCGCCCTGTTGCGGCCCTATTCTACCGCCGCCCCTTCGCGGCCCTGCCCTGCTGCCGCCCCGTCGCGGCCATGCTCTACCGCCGCCTCATAGCGGCCCTGCCTAGCTGCCGCCCTATACCGGCCCTGCCCTACCCGCCAGTCGCGGCCCTGCCCTGCACCCGCCCCTGGTAAGTGCCCGCCCTGCCAAGCGCGCCGCTGCGCCTGCCTGCCTGCCGCGCCGCACCGCCTAGCCAAGCCGCGCCGCCCTGCCAAGTCGCGCCGCCCTGCCGAGCCGCGCCACCCTGCTGAGCCGCGTCACCCTGCCGTGCCGCGCCGCCCTGCCGTGCTGCTACTGCCGCCATGGCTAGTCCTACTGTGCTTACCTTCGATGCTAAGGGCCGTGCGGCCGATTTTGAGGTTTGGGTAGATGACTTGCAGCTCTATCTTCAGTGCGACTCCAGGGACGGAGTCTCGCTGTTCAATCACACGTTCGGCGCCTCTGTTGCACCTGCTGCCGCCGCTGACAATACGGTTCCCTCGCAGTGGACTACTCGTGACGCTGTTGCTCGCCTTGCTGTTCGTCGTCACCTACCGTCTGCTAAGCGCGCGCACTTTGGCCAGTACAAGACTGCTAAGTCTCTGTATGATGCTGTTGTCACACGCTACTCCTCCCTTACCTCTGCTGCCCTCAGCCGTCTCATGCTACCGTTGTTGTTCCCTGGCCTAGCCGGGTTTTTCCACAGTCGCTGACCTCATCACTCACCTCCACACTAGTGACACCCGCTACCGTGCCGCTCTTCCCTCCGAGTTTTGCGCCAAGAACCCCCCTCCCCCCCCCCTCCATGTACATCAACCTCTTCTACCTCGTCACCCGTCTCCCTGACTCTCTCCGCTCCGTTAGGGACCACTTTCTCTCCCTTTGCCCCAGTGAGCTCACCGTCGACCTGCTCGAAGAGTGCCTCCTTGCAGCTGAGACTAGCATAGTTGCTGTAGGAGCTTCTCGCGGCGACCCTCGCACCCCTTTCATTGAGGGGTGCTCCCCCGTCCCCCTTTTGCCCTCTGTTGCTTTTGCTGCTACTATCGACCTCGTTGGCACCGAGGCGGTCGGGGCTGCGTCTGCTCCTAGTGGGAGGCGCCGCAGCGGCAAGGGCAAGGGGGGCAAGGGTGGTGGAGGGGACTGCGGGGGCGGCGGTGGTGGTGGTGGAGGAGGTGGAGGGGGTGGGAGTGGAGGTGGGGGTGGAGGCGGGAGTGGGGGCGTCGGTGGCGGCGGTGGAGGTGGGGGCGGCGGCGGCAGGGGCAGTGAGGGTGGCGGCGGCGGTGGTGCTGGTCGGGGTGGAGCCGTGCAGTGTGGAGGCTTTGGCGGTGGCCAGCGTCAGCAGCAGCCAAGTTCCCGTGAGGCCCCGTCGCCCCAGCAGCTTCGTGAGTGGTATGTTGGGCGTGGGAGGTATGGAGGTGCTGGTCCCTGCGCTTACGTTCTCCGCACCGGCGAGCGCCGTGGGGAGACGTGCGGGGTGCCGCACGCTACGCAGTGTTGTTTTGGTTGCCTGACTGATACCTGGCGCACACAATTTCCTGACTCTACTGAGCTCCCTCGCTGGGCTGATCTACTTAAGTCTGGTGTTGCTGTCTTTGATCTTGATTATGATGCTATCCTTGCTGCCATGTATGCTGTGACTATTAGTGCTGAGGGTGACTGTTACCTGTGTGTGCCGCCTGACCCAGGTATAGAGGTTGCTGCTCTAGGTGCTAGTGAGTCTGCTGCTCTAGGTACTGATGAGCCTGCTGCTCGAGGTGCTGGTGATTTTGCTCTCTCAGGTACTGCGCTTGCTGAGGCCTTGCACACTTTCCCTCTTGACTCTAGTGCTTCCCGCTCTTTCTTTCGCGACTGCACCACACTCACGCCGCTCAGTCGCCCGGTTGCTGTCTCCACCTCCCCTCGTTCTCTACGAACTTGGTGAATGGAGCTGACCTCCAGGACGTGTGGGTTGATTGTTTCACTCCTGGTGGTCAGCGGGTGACCCACTGTACGTTTACTCGGACAGGCCGCCACCTCGCCACGTTTACCCGTCAGCCTGGGTTGAGCCGGTACACCCTAACTACTACGTCCCCTCCAGTTACTGCGTCTGGTCAGGTAGCCGCGTCTGGTCAGGTGTTTGCTGCCGCGTCCAGGTCTGGTTCAGAGTCTGCCCCCAGCTCGTGTCGTCTCCTGTCACACCAGACTTTTCTCTTGCACCACCGCCTTGGTCACCCCTCCCTGCCTCGTCTTCAAGGTATGGGCTCCCGTGTCCTTGTCACTGGTCTCCCCCAGTCTCTCCCTCCCCTCCCACTGGGGCTTGCCCCTACCTGCGTTCCTTGCGTCGAGGGACGGCAGCGCGCCGCTCCTCACTCCTCCGAGTTCCCTCCGACAGAGGCTCCTTTGCAGACTCTCCACATGGACGTGCGGGGCCCAGCCCATGTCCGTTGACAGGGTCACGAGCATTACTTTCTGCTGGTCGTTGACAACTTCTCGCGTTACACCATAGTCTTCCCATTGCCCCGCAAGGGTGAGGTCGCTGAGGTGCTGATCGACTGGATCCGAGCTGCTCGTCGTCAGCTCAATGAGAGTTTCGGCTCGGACCTTCCTGTTCTGCGTCTGCACTCCGGCAGAGGTGGAAAGTTTTCCTCCGACCTTTTGCAGACCTTCTGTCGTGCGGAGGGCATCCGCAAGACGTTCACGCTTTCGGCCTCCCCATAGCAAAATGGGATTGCTGAGTTCCACTCCTTTAGCAGGTTCTTGGTCTACCTCCTTCTACTAGTTCTACTCCTCCCTTAAAGTGTCCACCGCCTGTCCAGTCACAGTCGCAGTTACCGTCGGCCTCCCCACTGCCTGGTCCTTCTCATTACACTAGACCGACTGGAGGTCTTGCTGAGCATCGTGAGCCTGTGTCTCGCCCTGCGTCGCTTGTTCGCACAGCCCGCACTAGTCGTCGTGTTTCGCGTCCGCGTTCTCCTCTTGTCCCTGGCACGCACCCCATGGCACTTTGTCCTTCCCCTGTTCCACTGCATGTTCCTCTACCGTCTCCACCTGCGTCCTCCCTTACTGACGGTCCGAACCCCGAGCCTGACTCACTTCGTGCTGCCAACCCTACCGACACGCGTCTGCTAGCTACTGCTGTCACTGACCCTTCCTTTGAGTCCACTGCTGCGTCTGGCTTAGTTGCTGAGCTTGTCGACTTTGCTGCTCGTTGTCGTCTAGACTACGCCGCTAGTCTTGTTGCTGAGTCAGAGTCTGTCTGTCCTCCGTCCGTCGGGGGTGAGTGTGCTCTTAGCACAAACGTCCTTGAGGACAGGCAGGAGGACTTTGAGTGCTTTGCAGCAGCTGTACCTCATCTCGTGTGCATGCTGATTGCACCTGAGGGAGACCCGGATGCACCAGACATCCCGACCCCGCGCTCTTACACAGAGGCGATAGAGGGTCCCTACTCCTCTCAGTGGCTGTCACCCATGAACGCAGAGATGGCATCCTGGAAGTCCACAGGCACTTACGTCGACGAGGTTCCCCTTCTTGGGGCGAACATCGTCAGTGGCATGTGGATTTTCAGGGTGAAGCGGCCGCCGATTTCTCCGCCTGTCTTCAAGGCGCGTTACGTTGCACGAGGCTTCAGTCAGCGACAGGGAGTTGACTTCTTCCCGACCTTCTCCCCGACCCCGAAGATGACCACTCTTCGGGTGCTGTTGCACGTCGCCGCTCAGCGTGACTACGAGCTCCACTCTCTTGACTTCAGCACTGCTCTCCTACAGGGCAGCCTGCACGAGGAGATTTGGCTGTGCCTCCCACCTGGCTTCTCTGGGTCGTTTCCTGCAGGTACCCAGTGGAGCCTCCGGCGGCCAGTCTACGGTCTCCGCCAGGCGCCTCGCGAGTGGCACGACACACTGAGAGTGGCGAGTGACCACCATGTCGTCAGTGGCGGAGTCACCCCCCTCACCCGGGCAAGAGGAATCAGAAGAGATCTCCAAAGGCTTAACCAAAGGGGGTGGGCCACACCTGAGGGAGCAGGACCCTGTGGGGGGGAGGGGGTCTACCAGGGGGGGAACTGGTACCAGAAAGAGAGGCGCCAAGGGGACCGGGTGGGACGCGTGCGGGTGGAGCCTGTAGAAATAGACTGACTCGTCAAAGGTGACGTCATGGGAGGCGAACACGCGAAGCGAGCGAGGGTAGTAAAAATGCCACGACGGGGCGTCGGTGGGGAAGCAATGGAAGGTGCAGTGGAGGGTGCGAGGAGAGAGCTTGCTCGCGGTGGTATCGCGAACAAGGGAAAGCACGCCCCAGACATGAAACGCCGATGCATCACTAACCTCTCCGCACAACGGAGTGTGGGCGAGGTCTCTGGCAAAGAGACACGAGGCCAGAGTTTGAGCTGATGCGCGGGGTATCGGACCGTAAATGACAACAGAAATGGGGAGCAGCCGTATGGATGATAAGGTGCGAGAAACCTCCATCACCAAGCCAATGCGGCGTTTTGTAATCCCATTTTGTTGTGGAAGCGTGAACGTCTGGCGGGTGCTCTGGTCTTGACAGAATTCCGCAAGGAAGCGAGAAGAGAACTCACCTCCCCTGTCAAAGTCCAGACGCAGGACTGGAAGGTCCTGACGAAACCGCTCGTGCAGTTGGAGACGAGCAGCGCGGATCCTGAGGATCAAAACACCAGTGATGTCCGCCTTGCGGCGCAAGGGGAAGACCGTGGTGTAGCGCAAGTAGCCGTCAACGATCAGCAGGAAGTAGCGCTCCTGGTCCGTCCCACTGACGCGGGCTGGGCCCCACACGTCCACGTGGAGAGTCTGCAGAGGAGCAGTGGTCGGAGGAAGCTCGGAGGAGTGAGGAGCGGCGCGCTGCCGCCCCTCAACGCAGTGAAGGCACGGCGGCGCAGGCGAGTGCGAGAGGTGGGGCAGAGACCTGGGAAGACCGGAGACAAGGAGACAGGAGGGCATGCTACGCAGACGCGGCAAAGAGGGGTGACCGAGTCGGTGGTGCCAGAGGAGAGTCTGGTGGGAAAGTACCCAACACGAGCAAGACGCTGCCACCTGACCTAACGCAACCACCTGTGGAGACGCAGTGGTCAGGGTGTACAGACTGGACCTAGGCTGCCGAGTGAACGTAGCAAGGTGACGTCCAGACCGGGAGCACGTACAGATCGCCACACACTGCCCTCCGAAGACAAAGGTATCAACCCAAATATCCCGAAGGACTGCGTTGCTCACCAAGTTTGTCAAGGAGGGGAGGTGGAGGCCTGAATGAGAACCGGAGGGGACTGCGGGATATGGGAGGATAGTGGAGGCTCGCGCTACTACTGGGCCCCTAGTGGGGTCAGCCAGTGAGACTGGGACACGTGCTGCGAGCGGTGTAACCGTGGTGCAATCACGAAAGATGCAACGTGACGCTCCTGAGTTAAGTGTGAAAGTGTGCAAGGCCTCAGTTGAGGCATGACTAGTGGCGGTAGACGCATTAGCACCTAGAGCTGCAGCAGACTCACTAGCACCTAGAGCGGCAGCAGACTCACTAGCACCTATAGCTGCAGCAGACTCACTAGCACCTGGAGCGGCAACAGATTCACTAGCACCTAGAGCAGCAGCCTCTACACACCCAGGGACGCCTCACTAAAAAACACAGTTGCGAAGCCGCTCTGGGAAGAAGGTCTCCTGCTGACGCCGTTGCCGCCTTCATAAATTCATAACCTCCACCACCAGAACGGGCTCGCTCAGCAACCCAATCACAAATCTGCTGTGGTCATAGAGTGTTCGGGTGAGGCAGTGGCTGCTGCTGTCCGCCCCTAGATGCTGCTACGACCGAGAGAGTGGCCATGAAAGGCAGTGGCAGTCAGTAGCAGCGGTGCAAGGGCATGAGTAGGAACTGCTGTAGCTGCAGCTGTAGATGTAGCAGTGGTCACTGTGGCTGTGGAGGTCAATAGGGTGCGCGGGCTACAGGGCAGAGCGGCGCGCGGGCCAAAGGGCAGGGCAACGCAATTCGCAGGTTGCAGGGCAAGGCGCGCGGCATAAGGGCACAATAGTGCAGTGCGCGGGCTGCAAGGCAGGGCAGTGCGGCTCAGGCGGAAGCAGCAGCTTAGCAGTAGTAGTATTAGCTCAACAGTACCAGCAGCACAGCCTGCAGTAGCAGCTTAGCAGCAGCAGCATAGGTGGCAGCACCACCGCAGGCGGAAGCAGCAGCGCAGGCGGTAGTAGCAGCTCACGCGGCAGCAGCAGCAGCAGCAGCAGCGTAGTAGCAGCAGCACAAGTGGCAGCAGGGGCTCCGCAGGGCATGAGTTACAACAGCAGTAGCAGCAGTGCATAGCAGCAGCAGCAGCGCATGCAGCAACACCAGTAGCAGCAGCAGCAGCGCATGCAGCAACACCAGTAGCAGCAGCAGCGCGCTTAGCAGTAGCAAAACGCTTAGCAGCATAGCAGCACTTAGTAGCAGCAGCAGCGCATGCAGTAGTAGCACCTGCGTAAGTGACAGCAGCAGCAGCGCGCATCAGCATGGATGGGCAGGGCGCAGGCAGGGTGTGCGTGAGTGC